AAAAATAAAACTCATGCAGAGCGCCAGAATAATTTAAATTTAAATCAACAAATTTTGGCGCTACATAATAATCAACAAAATCGAAGAAATATGGTAGGAATACCACAACCATTTTTTGACTGGGGTGATGATATCCCAGATTTTCTTGCGAAGCTAAGATTATACTTGCAAAACCAAGATGTAAATCCAGCAGATAATGCGGGAGGTCCACCAATGGGAAGAGAAGTAGCTATGGGATATTTAAGAGGCTATATAAAAGGAAGAACTTTAGAATGGTTCGATGAAGAAATTATTACAAAGCAAAATTGGAAATTAGCAAACTTACTTGATAATATGGGGCAAGCTAATATAGTAGCTATAAATGGATGTACAGCTATTCAGATAGGAGCTAATAGAATAAACAAGGCCCTTAATTAGCCAGAAAATACAATAGTTAAGTTAAGAGCCGTAGAAGATCCTTGAGATGAAGACTAGCGTATAGCGGGAGGTTGACCTACTAATAATGCTCCAAATGCTCCTAATGCTAATGCTTGTAATACCATAGTTGTACCTGGAATTCATTTTGGTCAAGCCGTATAGTGGTTAAAAACTCATTTTCCTACAGTAAAAGAGGAGCTTTGGAATATGATATATAAAACAATTAGAAAGGGGAATATGACTATAGATGAATTATATAGAAAAATATTATGAATAGGTAGACAAGCTAACTATAGGCCCGAAGAATTACGTAGAAAGTTCTTAGATGCTCTTCCACTTCCATAGCTTAAAAAAGTCAAGGATATTAGCGAACATTTGCCATTAGATAAATTAGCTAAAAAGCTTTATGAGATAGAATTACGCTGAATAGCTAGACATAAAAGAGATAGAATACCCGATTCATTAGTTTCTTAGCGAGCATCTCAAGAAATATATAAACCTTTACCCGTTTCAGCTCCTCAACAGCAAGGAATTTCTTTAGAAGATATGCAAAAAGCAATCCAAAACGCCCTGGCATAGCAAAAAACTGAATACCAGTCTTTATTAGAAAAACAAAAAACTGATTTCCAATCACAAATGGCCCAGCAAGCTGTTGAGCCAGTTAGACAGCTGAGAGGCCCACCAACTTCACTAAAAACAGAAAAAGGTATGAAAAATTATTATATAGTAGAATTCTTTAAAGATTTAGATATAATTAGTAAAGATGATTTAGACTCAGATTATTCTATAAAGCCTTTTCAAAGACCTCGTCCACAGTGAAGCAATGTCTCTACTAGAATTGATAGATTAGAAGAAGAGATTAATGAAACTCGGGATACTATAAACCAGTTAGCCGATCAATTTTAGAAAAAAGTATATATACGAAAATATGATATTTGTGGAGAGATAGGCCATAGCAAAAGAAATTGTCCAAATAGACCAATAGCTTAGTCTAATTTTACTCGGTCTTATTTTACGTCACTTAAACCAATAGTCTCTTAATATACGGCTCCTGATTCAGATGAGAAAAATGGAGATTATGATGAGGAAGAGAATAGGTGGTATGATCTACCGGTAAAAAAAAACAGGTAATAGTGAATAATAACCAGCTGAAAATATATAATGAATTATTTTCGAAACTTTCGCCAGCCATGCGAAAAATATGTCAGTCTCATATAGTCTGAGAAAAAAAATCAAAATCAGATGAGTGGTTTTCATCATTACAATACTTGTATTGTAATATAAATAATCTATTGATCACTAATTCTTTTTTAGATAGTGCAAGTGAATTCAGGGAGTGAATGATGCAACAATTAATGCCCTGGGTGGAAAGCTGACAAGCTATCTGATTTTGCTATAAAGGGTAATTCTAAACATATAATCGAATCATTGGGATGATATACAGATGTGCCAATTAGTGTAAAGGACAAAGATGGAAAGATTGTTATAGCTACTAGAAATTTTGCTCATATTAATAATGGAGAATCCAAACCAATGTTATGTTTAGGTATGATATGAATTCGAAAAGTTCAAGGTGTTCTTGATCCAAATAAAAATCAATTCTGAATGAAGTTACATGGGAAGACTTACATTATCCCAACTTTTAGCAAGACTCCAGAAATAAACGATTTGCCAAAAGAGAAGCAGGATCAAGTATTCACCGATTCCTCTAGCCCAATTAGTGAAGACTTAAAAAAAAAGGTGAAGATCTTGAAAAGCATCTCTTAAAAACTGAGAAATAGCTTGACTTGGCATTAAGGACTGGAAAGTTTTTTGCTGATACATGTGAATCTTTATGTAGAAGAGATATCAAAAGTACCAACTGAGCTTTTAAGCTTTTCACCACGATTGACTAAGTTTTCAAGAAGAGATTCCAACCTTTTTTCTTGGGATATATCTGGCAAATTATTAGAAATCACGTCATCTTTGTTCTCATTTTTTCTTGTCTTATTTCTAATTCAAGAGAGACCTTCTTTTTTTGACTATTCTTTTTTAGAATCTTCATAGTCAGAGTGGACGTAGATAGTACTGGTGGTACTGCTTCAAGATTCTGTTTTGACTTATCAGTCTTGAAATTTTCATCCAAAACAGGCTAAGATAGAATGGCCTCTTGCTAGAGGTGTTCTTTATTATCACATATTTCATAAATACGTTTAGGTCCGATATAGAATTTATCAGCCATTTTTTTTGATGCATTGGGTATCCTACCTCTGGATTCTCTAATTTCTTTGATAGCATCATTTGATAATAGGGTTGCTTTAGCATTATAATATATATCATAGATACGGACTACTATCTTCACTAGATTATTATACTAGAAAAAAAATATTAATGCTTTTAAATAAAATATCAATGCATATCAATGCGTGCATATCAATACTCTTCAATAAGCATTAATATTTTTCAGTGTGTATTGATACTTTTCAATATATATTGATATATTTCAATACCCACCAATGCATATTAATAAGCTTCAATGCTTACCAATATGTATCAATATAGTAATATCTATAAAAAATATCTTGCTTCCAATGCCAAAAATTCTAGCGGTATCTATTTAATTTTTTTTTACCTAAAGAAAAAAAATACCAATAAAATGTACCAGATCCGTACTTTAAAAGATCCGGATAATGATAATAAACTTGGAGATGCTCCAGCTAATTATTATCCTCCCAGCCGAACAAAACTTGAAGAGCAACTTTCTTGTACAAAAAAAGATCGTGAAGTTGCTATATATTGGGGAAATCGGTTTGCAGATAATTACGATATCTTAGATAGAGAAAAAAAACATATACAGGATTCTCTAAATCAATTAAAAAAAGAAAATAAGCGTATACAGGATGACCTTGATAAATCTAAAAAAAGAAAATAAGCACATACAGGATGATCTTGATAAATCCAAAAAAGATAATGAGAAGCTCTCTAATTGTGTTCACCAGCTTGGAGAAGAAACAATGCAGTTACAATCAGAAATAGATAACTCCAAGCTTGGGGATGAAATAAGACATTTACATTCAGAGATAAATAACCTTAAGTTTCAGATCACTCACAAGGATATTTTTTTTACAGATGCCAAAAGCAAATTTTCTATAAAATCGGAGGAGATGCAAGCCTTCCAATCCAAGATGGAGGAAGAGATACAGGCTCTCCAATCAAGAGTAAAAGAATTGGAGCAAGATCTTTCTTTAGCACAGAATGAGTTATCAGAAATGGAATCTCTTGAGCATGAATTCGAACAAAAAAAGATATTACTATCTGCTGAAAACACTACCCTAAATTATAAAAAAATAGAGTTAGAAGAAACTCTGTCTAAAGAAAAAAATAAATTAATGCAGATAAAGAATAATTTAGCTTCAGTACAAAAAGCATTATTAGAGAAAGATTTTCTTCTTCAAGAAACTAATGCTCATTTAGCAGAGCAGATTTCGAAAGTATCTGGTGAGTCAAAGTATAATGAAGTGATTGGAGGTGTTAGCAGACTAGAGAAAGGTAACAGCATCACTAATTCTGAAACAACCTCACTATCACCCAATTCTTTCTTTTAGCAGAATGTTGTCTTCATCATAATAATGATATTACTAATCATATACTTCCTATAGCGCATATCCTCTTATATATATTCTTTTATTTCACTTCTCAATAAAGAAAAAAATATTCTGAATTATAAAATACCCTTAGATAAAAATCAAAGTTATGGATTCCCAATCCGTCATATAAAAGAACCAAAAAAAAAAAACTACCACCTATGAAACTCTATCTTATGGATATGGACGAGACCACAAAGCACGAATCATCCCGAAATGTTGGACATCCAGCAATGTCATGGTCTTTCAGCATGATAGTCAGCAGAAGAAGTGGTACAGATAAGACCAATTTACTAGCAAACCTTGTTCTTGGAGATAAATGTGAGCATATATATAAAAGACAAAAAGGAGGATCCAGATATATTAGATGCGATAATTTGATAGTTTGCGGTTACTATCCTGATGAGCCAAAATGGGTATTCTTTAGATATATGTATGGAATAATAGCAAGTAATCCCAAAGCACCCTATTACGAGAACATTAGATTTAGCTACATATCACCAGAACAAATTTCTAGTGTGAAATCATTTTCACCTGAGAGGAGCACCGTAATCATTTTTGAGGATGTATGTGTTGCTCCCGAGTCTATCCAAAATCGAATTATACCATTTTTTACACATGGGCGATATCGAAATATTTCTCCGTGCTATGTTACTCAGAAATATCATCATGTACCAATTATTATTCGTGAGAATATCTCCCTTCTAGTGATGTTTAACTCTGGTAGTTCACGTGAAGAAATTTCTAAAATTCTTTGGCAATATACTGATGATGTTAAAAATGCTTCAATGGTTATTAACAAATACCTTCGCAAGGGGGAATTTATTGTGTTTGATTTAAACAAGCCAGAAGATGATCCACATGCAATTAGATTAAGATTCGATACTCCATTAGATCTGCATAAAGAGATTCAGCTATGACAAAAAAACAATGAAAAAGTTATCATTAAATGATGCATGTATGATTGCTAAAGAACGTGATGGGATATGTCTTTCAACTGAATATAAAGATAACAGAACTCCATTAATGTGGCACTGTTCTAAGAACCATGTATGGAGTGCCCCACTTTCTAGAATTAAAAATTTAGGACAATGGTGTCCACAATGTGCAGGTAATATGAAACTTACTCTCGAGATCGCTAAACAAATTGCGCTATTAAGGCATGGAGAATGTCTATCAGAAAGGTATGTAAATCAACGATTGCCATTACTATGGCGTTGCACTAAGGGTCATTTATGGAATGCATCCTTTAA